TTATTTATACTCTTCTAAGATATACAAGGATTACCATTGTGCCCTCACTTAAGTGAGAGCCACATCAGCTGAGCAGTATATATATAACTAAATATAAAAGGATTGTACTACCCTTATACAACCGACTCTAACAAAAACCATGCGGTGGAAATCTTTCACAATTTTGGGTACTTCTTCTCTAGAATGCATAGGATATAGCCAAGTGTATCTCAAATAATCATCAATAAAGCTGATAAAATACTTGTACCCACCCTCAGTAGGTATGTTCACATGGCCCCAAACATCAAAAAAGACAACATGGAAAGGCAAAGCGGATCTTTTATTATTTGATGGAAAAGTTGTTCTACAATGCTTACTTAATTGACATGTTTGACATTGTAAACTAATGATAGACACAGACTTAAAAGTTCAGAAAACATAACTTTCAAAGACTCAAAGGACAAATGACCAAGGAGATTATGCCGCAACCACAATTGACATTTTGTAGACTGACTCATAAGACTCACAGGATCTCCAAGATGTAGAGGCCATCAACCATATCTCCTTTACCAATCGTCCTCCTCGAGGCTAAATTCTGAAAAACACAAGAACGAGGAAAAAAAGTCATACAATGGCTTAAGGATTGAGTAATACTATTTATGGACAACAAATTAATAGGAAGTTTGGGAACGTGAAGGGCAAGGAGTAAAACAAGGCCATTAGGAAGGGATACAAATCCCTGACCAGCAATAGTGGATAGAGACCCATCAGCAAGTCTCATTTTATCCCTCCCAGAGAGGATAGTAGGTCTGAAATAAATTTGACTTACCAATCATATGGTTTGAATCCCTTAAGTCAATGATCCAAAATGACTCGGGAAAAGAGGTACACACATAAAATGCAAAAGCACATTTACCTGATGTAGATGCAAATGAAGTAAAAGGGGTAGGAGCCGACCTATCCATCTATCCAAGAGTCCTATCATACAATTCCAAATGATCTCTGAAGGAGTTAATGATGTCTTCCTTGGGATCAGAACCACTAGGATGCTCTTGAGAAATTCCAGTAGTCAGATTATTTGATTGGTAATCTTGTGCAGCCAGATTTGCATAAGTAAATTTCTTCTGAGAAGGCTTCTTTGAAGTGTCTTGATTCTTGGTTGCCCACTTGGGCTTCCCCACTAACTCCCAACAAGTCTCCCGAGTGTGTCTAGGCTTTTGACAATGAGTGCACCACAGTTTGTCCTTGTCCTCATTTTTCCTTGATTCTCCCTTTTCATTCCAATGTTGCCCCCTCTTGCAACTAGGGCAACAAGTTGCTCCCCCTCAAAAACATTCATTAGATTTTTTCTGCTCTCTTCATATTGAACTAAGGCATATACCTCCTGAACTGAAGGAAGTTCCCTACTTCCTAAAATTTGTACCCAAAGAGGTTCATAAATAGGATTCAGCCTCAAAAGAAAACAAACACTCGCTGTTGGGAGACAAGTTTTTTTGTATGCCTTTGCATCCTCATCATTCTTCCACTCAATAATCTGATAATAGTCCAACTCCTTCCATACAAAAGTAAGGGCTGAATAGTATGTAGATAGGCTACGGTCTCCTTGCTTACAAGTAGATGATTTTGCTTGGAGCTGATAAATCTTGGCAAAATGCCTCTATTCAAAATAGGTTGTCTTGTCTTGTCTTGTTCCCAAATCTCACAAACTGTATCAGCCCATATGAAATTTTTCTTTACATGAGGCAGCATGGAACCTAACAGCCATGATATAACAATGTTGTTTTCTTGATCCCATCTATCATATTCAGCTGTACTAGACTTTGGTTCTTTAATTTTTTTATTTTTTCACTTATGTAACCAGCCTTCCCCCTAGTTGTGATATAAAGTTTGATGCCTTTGGACCATTCCAGATAATTTAGGCCATCAAAGGGGGTAGTAGACAAAGAAAAATTTATGCTGTCCATTCCCCCATTAAGGTTTCCTTGATGAGAAGTAATACCAGAGGTTGTTGAATCCTCAGTAGCCATTTTTCCCAATATTTTACTGCTGATTTTCCAAGAAAAAAGGACTGAGACAGAAGTTCTGTACTTCTACAGCACTGTAGTTTAAGAAGGCTCCAAAAAACAGGTTCAGCTGGACTGTAGGTCAGTAAACCCTAGCCGAAACACTTCAGCTTATAAAAAAAGGAGACAACCAGCCCCTACAACCCCAAACTGTGACATTCACAGTAGTCATACACTTAAATATGAATGACATACCTGGAGTACAGTAATAATTCCACAACCTACAGTCCATAAAAAACCAGGAGAAAACCCTAGAAATACTGCTTACTGCATTCGGATGCCACCACAAACCTCTTCTTGGTACAATGACCAAGAGAGGAAAAAGAAAAAACGAAGACTGAAAGGCTAGGTCAGTCCAATGGAGTCTTCACTTCCTCTTCCAATCAAATAACCCAGTTTCAGATGGAGAACACAATCTGAGAAGGTTGCGTCCAGATCAGAGCTCTGATACCATGTAGTCCAGCAAAGATAAAAGAGAGAATAGAAGAAGGAAGAGAGAAGAGAGAAGGAAGAGAGAAGAAGAAGGAGTTCTATTCTGTAGTTCTAGGCTGGCGGCACCTAAGTTTGTATTTATACTTAGGGCAACAACTTATAACAAAATAAAAGAGGAAAAAGCAAAAATACCCCTACGCTAGTACATTACATGTTACAATACATAACAAATTACATGGTCCACTAATGACTAGCAAAAAAGGCATAGCCAATAACAGCCACTTGACCATGCAAATGACAACAACCAAGATGTGAGCTTATAATCAAGGTTCAAAGCATCAATACTCTCAACACATTGCATATCAAGAGTTTATTTTAATCAAAACTCCTTTTTTTACTTTTTGGTTTGATAATTCGACAGGTGACATGTCACATCAGTTATAAGGTGTAAAACAATTGAAATCACCTAACCCCTATTATTGAGAGTAACGGTGATCCAGAAAAGCAATACATATTGGTCAATACAGACCAATATATTGTGATATTTTGAACCATGCTTATAATAAGCCCATCGGTGGGATGGTTATCTTCCCAAAAGAAAAGCTTGACATTGACATATTAGAGTAATTCCAATATGAGTAAAATAAACTCTTAATGATATTCAAGAAAACAGAAGAAAAAGTATGATAAACACCCCAAGAGTTGGAGTTTAACACTGAAGCTCAATAAAATCAGAATACAAAGAGACTCTCCTCCTACCTCAGCACATTATCAGCCCTTTACTTCTCTGCTCTAGAAACAAGAGAGAATGAGTTATCTTACAACCCAACCAACTCTTGAATATTGTGATGGCTTTTGACTCTTACTTTAATATCCAAACAATAAACAAAGACCTAAGTTTTATGCTAGAAAACATAAGACCTAATAAATATTAGGAAAGCTAGTTTAAACTAAAAGGTGAGCACTTACTAAAATTCACATATCCATTATTCATCAAGTTGATGGCTCTTGCCCTTTCTATTGTTATATAATAAATGGGTAGAGTTTAATGATTAACCATTAGTAATGTAATTGACTCGATAAAATACCATAATTCCACTTTTTCATGTCAAATCAAAATAAAGAATTTATCTTTATTTGTTTCTGATCAGTAATAGATCAAAAGAACTCGTTAATTGGAAATCAAACTAGAAAAGGCAAGTAAAGAAGTTAATATTTCTTAAATCTAAGACCCAAAGAAGAAAAGTGGCAAACAAGAAATGTTTTGAAGAAGCAGAAGCCAAACCATGTACGATATGATAGTCTAAAAGAAAGGGTGTTTATGAAGAGATGTACATTACCATACAAAAAACATAAACAGACCTCCTCCAATACTAAAATTAAGGAAACAAGCAATATGTAAAAAGAGCTCATCCACCGTAGCATTTAAATCCATTGGAATTGGCCTAATTTGAACTAACATTTGCCCCATGGATTCCCTAATCATGTTAAAATAGTGCTCAAGCCTCCAAGGGTCACCATTACGACTTACAAGTCAATGCACAATATATAAATCTAAGTAAGCTAATTTTAACATAAAGATATGTCAAACATCTATGTCCCCTTCATCCAAAAAAAGATGTGTCTTTGTGGAAATTTTGAGGTCGTCTCACCATATGAACATTTTGAACCCTGAACTAATTGCATTTCAATACATTATACACCAATTCCAGTTTGACACTCAACAGGCCGTTACCAAAAAGGTATGAAAATAGAATGAAAGATATAAAAAGGCCATTACCAAGTATTGGTCCTAACTATCCTGGGTATAGACCTTACCTCCAACGATTTTGGAGCAAGTGGCTGCTGTAAGATTTGAACCCTATTTCTCAAGTTTGTCAGCCTAAAATTTTACTACTAGACCAAGCAATGACCCTTAAATATATGAGAAGATATACCCTAAAAAGTGGTAAATTTAATTTAGATAGGACCCTAAAAGAATGTGAAAGCTTATTAGAAGATTCAAGGTGTGAAGTCTATAGAGTACACAACTAGTCACTAAACATGTAAACTTGTGAGAAAATTCTCATGCCAAAAGTTTTCAAATTTCAAATGCACCAGAAATAGTAAGGATGGCCACAAGCATCAGAATTACTGCAGTTTCAAGTAAAAAAATGTGTGCTTTGTCTAATAGCCTGCACATATAATAATTTTAATTTTCTCATGACTGTAAATGGACAAAGAATACGTCTGAAACATGTAAATTTCCTTTTATCAAGGTTGTTAAACTTCATGCCCATCACTTGAGATCTGAATCTCTCCATTTGCTGAGATTTCACAAAGATTATTCTAGGAAAAAATGTGAGTTGCATCCAAATAATAGTAAATGAAAAATTATATCACAGATTGCACTCAAAACAAGAATAGATGAAACAAAGATAAATCTCAGAAAATGTAAGTGGCATCCAAGTAATCGTAAATGAAAAGCTGTACCATAGATTGTACAGAGAACAAAAACAGATGAAGCTACAAATCTTTGATGAATACCAGTGCTAAAAGTTCTGACCGGAGCCAAAGAGGAGTTCCCTTGTCCGTTTCACCAAGATTTTCGCCCACCTTTGTCTTGAACCAGAAATAGAATGTGTTAGTTTAAAATTCCAAAGACAGAAAACAGAAGAAATTATGTAAAAACAAGGATTAAGGATAAAGTCCTTCCATTTCAAAAGAAATACAAATAGCACTTTATACCTCTACCATAACATCAATCTGAGCACCAGGAATCAACTCAGGGGGAGCCTGCAGAAAATTGACAACAAGTCAATAAACCCAACTGAAGCTAAAACTCAACAAGCCAAATTAAAAGAACCTCACCCATTAACCTCAACAAAACATTCAAAGCACCAATAAGGCGTGAAAAGAAATGACTTCAACCTGCGCAGCGCTCTCTCGATACTGTAAAGATAGGAAAGGCTCCATGATTGATGCAACAGTAACAACCAGCGCCAACCCAGACGAAGATTTCCGGTAAATACCACCCAGGGCATGCTTAAAGATTGAAAACTCGCTAAAGGAATTCGGCAACAACATTCCAGATGCCGAAAGGGTAGTGATGCCAGACCTGAGCCCAATAGTAGATAATTCAACAAACTGTATCAAATACCCAAAGCTCATATAATCAGAGTGTTAACTAATTTTCATTGCTTTACTTACTGATATTGGTGGAAAGCATGCCCCCGCATCTTCAGACCCTTTGGGTCCTGGAATTGATCAAATATTACAACTAGAAATATAATAAAATAACAAATCAAACCATCTTGAACAAACAACCCATGAGAGAGAAACTTACCGGGCCCTGGATCCTAACCATGACGGCGAAGTTCCTAGCAAATTGAACGATTTCCGGCAACTCCATGTGCAAGGATGTGTGGCGGGAGACTCTGATCTTCTCTCGGGAGCATGAGCATGAAAAGCTGAGCCTGCGCTTGCGACTTGCCTGACTCGTTTATTAGTTTTTCTTTTCTTTTTTTTTTCAATTGTTCATAGTTCGTACAACTCTTTCATTCTTCGCCTTTCGGAAAAGTACGGATAGGCCTCTTAAAGATTTCTGAATTCCACGGCAAATCTATAAACATTTAAAATGTAAAATACCTACCCAACCATAATTTGAGGCTAAAAATTCTGAACCTGGGCTAAACCGTTATTTCCAGTCGAATTCGCATCAAATTTGAATATTAAATAGATTAAAAATTATGAAAATTTTATATATTATTAATAAAATTGATTAAAAATTACTTTAATATTATATTTTTATGAAAAAATGAAGTGAACATTAATTTTATAAAATTTGAACATGTGACAATTTATTAGTGAAAATTCAACAGTAATACCAACTAATGAGGGGTAATTCGGTCCTCCTAATCACATCTTGAAATGTGGCCTTCAAGTAACACCTCAGCGCTGATTAAGCAAGCTAGCTTGACAAATTAGCCTAGATCACCTCACTTAGGTCGACATTCACCTCGGTTGGGCCGAACTGATAGACCCCCTAGCCTGTGGCGACCTGTCTTAGAGACCAGCCGAGCTGTAGGAATCCACAACGACCTGTGAGGAGAGTCCACTGACTTAGACCAATAGTGCATTACCAGCTCGAAATCTCCGAAACAATACCTCGACCGTTAGACCGGCCTACTGCATTGCATGCCTCAAAGTTATTCGTGCAATTCGTAACATCCACGCAGATCTCACAACTAACATATTAGTGCGCTTGACTAAGTGAAAATGGCTCCGCAAGAAGATGAGACCCATTGTAAAGGGCTCTGACCATCGAAACCTATATAAAGAACTCATTTCTACCTGAGAAGGTACACATGATAATACACTCTCAAGCTCTCTCATTCTCTCAAGAATTCTCTAAACACCTTCTGACTTAAGCATCGAGTGCCCTCCCCGAGTAAAGACAACCCGGGCACTCTAACATTCTCTCTTGCAAAAACACATTAGCTCGGCCCTGACAAGAAACCTCCCAAGTCACCTAACACGAGGGAGCAACTAGATCGTGCAATATTAATTAGCGTTGTCTGTGGGAAATCTAAAACAAAAAGCCAAGTACTCTCTTTATATTTTTTCTGAATTAAGAAACCAATGGCTTCACCAAGCAACCAACATGCTAACAACAACAATCAAATCCCCACTATGACCATTGGACAGATAGATGTCCCTCTGCACCCAACCGTTGTACCAAATAATGTGAATGCACCTCCTACCATGGTCAAACCCGCAGCGTCTAGCGTCTCTTGTAGCAGTCGACACGCGTCAGTTCTATGATATGGTGCAATGCGTAAAGGGAATGAGTGACTAGCTTAAGTTTTGGGAAAGTAAGTTTGCCTTCATGGTGGGGGGGGGGGGCAACAAAAATAGCAACACCAGGCCCATCGCCAGCAGAACCAATAGGTACCTCAGTAGAACGCCGATTTGAATCAAATCAGCAACAACCCAACCCCACCTTGAGTTCGCAATCAAGCCTAGGTCTCCAACAGATCACCTGGACCTATTAACAACCAACCCCAGGTCAACAACACGACCCCTGAACTGAACTAGAACCAGCTGTTGGTGGAAAGTCGACCTACGACTCCCATCGGAACTGAGGCCGCCAACTCGTTTCTTGTTTGAGGGGTCCAAGAGAAAGTGCAGGAGATGTGGGCATCGCACCATGAAGAAAAGTCAGCTCACTCCAACAGGGAGCGTGACGCAGAAAAGGGCAAACAACAAAGCAGTGAGTTAGGTAGGTGCTTTATCCGAGTAGCCACTCATAACTCGGGAATCTCCATTGGCACGGCCCCGAGGCCAAAAAACTTCAAAGCACCTACCCTCGATACCTACAAGGGTGCAACCGATTCGATTGAGAACGCTAATAGCTTTCAAGCCCTAATGTTGCTTCATGGGGCTAATGATGCAAGCATGTGCATCACCTTCCCAACCACCCTTAAGGAAGAAGCTTGGCTCTGGTACTCAAGGTTGGATCCTGTATTTTTAAAAATTGGAACCAGTTCGCCTTCCTATTCATCAACTAGTTCACAACAAGTAAGAGACATTCAATATTTGCAACTTGCTTACTTAATGTAATTCAAAGATCTAATGAAATGCTCCGAGAATACATAAAAAGATTCAACATGGAACGCTTGCAAATTCTTGACCTAGACCCAGTTGTATAACTCACCGTAGCCAAAAACGATGTGCGTCATCCTGACTTGCATTGGAAGATCGAGCTGAACCCTCTGACCACCATGGAGAAATTCCTAGCAGTGGAAGACAAATTCATGAAGGCGAAAGAATTCCTAGGGTTGTAGTCCAAGCTGTTCGGGAAAAGGAAGCGAGCTAAAGAAGAAGCAAGTAGCAGCAAATCCAAGAAAAGGAGTAAGTCTCCAAAGAGAAGTAGATCACTAAAAAGCAAGCGAATGCAAAAAGTGGTGAAGAAATCAGGAGTAAGTCACCTCAATAGGGTTCGAACCAGCGATCTGGCACCCCACCTTTGTATAATAAGACATTCACCCCCTGAATGCAAAAAGTGGAGAAATCTTAATGCAAATAAAATCCACCAATTACGTAAAGTGGCCGCCCAGGATGAAGGGCGACCGAGCCACTAGAAACCCAAATAAATACTGCCACGTCCATCGTGACGTCGGTCATGATACAGAAAACTGTTGGAACCTGAAAAATGAGATCGAAGACCTCATTCAACGAAGATGCCTAAAGTAGTTCGTCAAGGATGATGGCCGACCTGTAGAGCAAAACAAGAAAGCACAACAGACAAGTAGAGAGCAAGAAACAACTCCAAGAACCATCAACAGGAGCGACCTGTTAAGGGGGTCATTAACATGATCACCGAGGGGGTCAATTGTAGCCGGGTGCACCACCTCGGCCGAAAAAAATTCAATTAGGGAATTGGAGCACAAAGATGATAATCCACCAAAGCACTTGAGAAAAGAAGAAGTAATCTACTTCACTAAGGTTACTAGTCAACGACTTCAAGGTAAAAAGAATTATGGCCGACTTTGGCAGCTTGGCTGACATCATATTTTTAGAAGCCTTTGAGCGCGTGGAACTTGGAAAAAAAGATTTATAGCCCGTCGACATACCCCTAGTAGGCTTTAGCGGAGAAGTAGTTCGGCTCGTTGGCAAGGTGAGGGTACCAGTTGAGGCAGGCTCGCCTCCTAACACAGTCTGGTTTGGTCATGATTTCCTAGTGGTCACCACCAGCTTGATGAGAGTAGAATTTATCATATTTTTATCCCCAAATATTCTGTCTTTTATACTGAATTAGTACTTAATTGGAATAATATTTCTTGTATTTCGGTTCAGGGCACGAAAGAAGGCATTAGGAGCAAAGAAAGACAAATCGGATGATTTTTCACAGTTTCGACATCGTTCAGTAATATGGGCCTAACTTGCGTATCCGAACCCCGATTGGGCTGATTCAAGACCCACTGGTAAGAGAAAAATCCGCAACTTTCATGTTTTGGGATTTCGTAGATTCGGCCTGCATCAAAGTCAAATCCGGGCCCGAAGTTGGGGAAAATTCATAGGAAGGCCCAATCCGCAGCTGAAGCCCAACTTGCAGAAAAGCCTAGCTGAAGCCCAATTCGCAGAGGAGGTCTAATACGAATCCATGAACAAGAAACTGAGAAGAGTCCTTCCAGATCTAAATTCTTGATGTAATCTTAGAGAGATAAAGGGATTGAGTTCATTAGATAAGGAGATAAGAGTAGAATTAGGATAGGACTTTCTATTCTTGTAAGATCAAATTCAAGAGGAAGTAGGAGACCACCCCCTCCTCTTTAAGCTATATAAAGGAGGGGGCGGACCAGCTTGAGGCATCACTCAATCTTGGGGATTGAATCAAGAAGAAATGAGCAATCAATCAAGAAAGGGTCAAGAATTCAAGAAGAAGGTGGCGGCAAGAAGAGGATATCTCAACACCATGGGCGAATTCAAGAGTTCTTTCTTTCCCTTTGTTTGCTTTAATTCTTTTATCATGAACCGATTTGTTTCTTGCTAGGACTGTGGAAAGCCTAACCATGTTAATGAATATATTTTTATCTTTATGATTTATCCAAGATTATGATTTCCATATAGTCTATGAWTTATTGTGCTTAATGCAATTAAGARCTTGGCCACCTCTTAATTGATTTGTGTTATGTGAATGAATCGAGAGAGGAATTCACATAATTGACTGAATAATTCATAGTGTGAATTGAATGGTATATAGAGATATATATACATGATTCATCTAAATTTAATGGTTTTCTTGGACTTAATGCACTCCCATCTTGAGAGCTCTACTCGAGAGATCGAAGGGTTACGTGATGGGCGTAGGTTTAGTATATCTCGAGAGAGAATATTAAATAAATTTGGAAAGACCTCAGCTTATGGGAGTGACAAATAATCTTGGTTAATCGAACCCATCAATATTCATTACATTGGTTAGGTGGACCAAAAGCCCTAGCGATTTCATCCATTGCATATTCGGTTAGTGATCACCTTTGTTTCTATTATCTTTCTCTAGTTTTTATTTTCAATAGATCTTGCTCAAATATGAAATTCGATTGTCCAGATAATTAGGGAAGACGGTGGTTCTAATACTTATTTTGTTAAATCCCCGTGGGAACGATATTTTTATACTACTTGATAACTAGTGCACTTGCTAGGGTTATATATTTATAGCTATCACAGCTCCCCATGCAATGCCATACTAGGCCGACCCATCCTGCACGCCCTCCGGGCGGTCATCTCAACATATCACTTGGCTGTAAAGTTCCCCATTGATGAAGGCATCAGAGTTATGCGGGGTGACCAACTGGAATCCCGCAAGTGCTATGTAGCCACCCTAAAGGCAAAAGGAAAAATTGTTGTCGACATTAACCTAGAGCCACCTTTGGAAAATACAGATGAGTGAGCTCAACCAACTGAAGAAACCATCATGGCACCGGTCTCAAAATTCGAGCCAGGAAAAACAATTCAGATAGAAGTTCACTTGAAAAAACTAATGCACTCCAACTTGGTAAGTTTTTTACTTGATAATTTAGATGTTTTCACCTAGTCAGCAACA